GGTGAGGGTCTGAGGGAGAAAGACAGGGTCTGAAGGAGGAGGTCAGGGTCTGAGGGAGGAGGTCAGGGTCTGAGGGAGGAGGTGAGGGTCTGAGGGAGAAAGACAGGGTCTGAAGGAGGAGGTCAGGGTCTGAGGGAGGAGGTCAGGGTCTGAGGGAGGAGGTCAGGGTCTGAGGGAGGAGGGGAGGGTCTGAGGGAGAAAGACAGGGTCTGAGGGAGGAGGGGAGGGTCTGAGGGAGGGGATCAGGGTCTGAGGGAGGAGGTCAGGGTCTGAGGGAGGAGGTCAGGGTCTGAGGGAGGAGGTCAGGGTCTGAGGGAGGGGATCAGGGTCTGAGGGAGGAGGTGAGGGTCTGAGGGAGAAAGACAGGGTCTGAGGGAGGAGATCAGGGTCTGAGGGAGGAGGTCAGGGTCTGAGGGAGGAGGTCAGGGTCTGAGGGAGGAGGTCAGGGTCTGAGGGAGGAGGTCAGGGTCTGAGGGAGGAGGTGAGGGTCTGAGGGAGAAAGACAGGGTCTGAGGGAGGAGGTGAGGGTCTGAGGGAGGAGGTCAGGGTCTGAGGGAGGAGGTGAGGGTCTGAGGGAGAAAGACAGGGTCTGAGGGAGGAGGTCAGGGTCTGAGGGAGGAGGTCAGGGTCTGAAGGTAGAAGCATGGCGTAAGGAGGAGCCTTTTGTGTCCATGCATCTCGAGTGTGCTAAGCCACCGTGCGTGCTCTCGGGTGCAGAGGACCCTGCAGAGACCAGTCCTCCCCTCCCGCCATGGAGTCCCAGGGAGCCAACTCAGGTCCTCAGGCTTGGCAGCAAGCCCCTACGCCCCAGCCATCTCACTGGCCCAAAGGAGCAGTTTGAGGACCACCCTTGGGGGAAGAGGGCGTACAGTGCCTGGGGACCCCGTGGGGACAGAGGAGAGGGAAAGGGAGGGAGGGAGGCCTGGAATGAGCCCCGCCCCGCAGCTGTCTCTTGATTTCCCAGAATGTTCAGCTGTTTAGGAAAGTCCCAGCTCCCACAGCAGCCTCCCCTTCAGCCTTCAGTGTCGGGAATGGAGGATGCGGAACCAGGATGGCCACCCCCCTGTTTCCCCCCTGGCTTTTCGAATCCTAGGCGGGGAGGACTAGGGTCTCTCCTCTAAGACTGCAGCTTTGGAGGGCCCCACCCACTGGCAGGGGCGGCCCCTGGATGAGTCCCAAAAACTTCCCAGAGAGGCCTGGGAAGTCCTGCTTGCTGTCTAACCACTTTCCCTCATATGAACAGCTCGTTGTCTCGGTTTGAATCTTTTCTTCCTCTCTCCTGCTTCATCCCTAATTTCTCCCGGGGGAGGGGGAGGAGGGGTCCCCAGGGAGAACCAAAGGGGACCTGGGCCTTCATTCCTCTCCCAGAGTGGGAGGCAGAGTGGATTTCACCCTCATTCTCTCTCCACCTCAGTTTCTCAGATTTGCCCCGCTGTGTTTCTGAGGCCCGGGTGCAAATCCTACCAACGTTACTTTTTAGTCTGTGACTCCCAGAGTTGGCCTGACCTCAGCATCCATTCTCTCATTTGCTAAGTGGACCAGTTCAAGAAAACACCCCCCCCACCCACCCATAAAAACCGTGAGTGCACATTCCGGTGTTCTGGGCAGAGCACCTCAGGTGCAGTTCTGTGGCGTCTACCTTTTTTTTTTTTTTTGACACAATCTCATGCTGGCCTGTGACCCCCTGACTGGGCTGGGTTAGCGAACAGAGGCCACCGAGCACCAGGGATGGGCTTGTCCATACTTCCTAGTGTGGGAATTGCAGGCAGTGCCTCACCACGCCGAGTGTTTTTAATGTGGGTTTTTTTTTTTGTTTTTGTTTGTTTGTTTGTTTGTTTTTGGCTTTTCGAGACAGGGTTTCTCTGTATTGTTTTGGAGGCTGTCCTGGAACTCGCTCTGTAGACCAGGCTGGCCTCAAACTCATAGATATCCCCCTGCCTCTGCCTCCTGAGCTCTGGGATTAAAGGCGTGCGCCACAGGTAGACACTTTACTGGTAGTTCTTTCTCCCTGTCTGTCGGCTTCTGTCTCAGCTTCTGCTGCTGAACCCCCTGAGTGCTGGGATTATGGGCATGAGCCACCATTCTGGGCTTTTTTTTTTTCCTTTCAAGACAGCGTTTCTCTGTGTAGCTTTGGAGCTTGTCCTGGAACTCACTCTGTAGACTAGGCTAGCCTTGAACTCACAGAGATCTGCCTTCCTCTGCCTGCCCAGCACTGGGGTTAAAGGCGTGTACCACCACTGCCCAGCTGCTTTTTTTATTTTAGCTTAGTTTGTAGATGCATTTGTTTTGTGTCTACGTGTATGAGTGTTTTGCCTACATGTGTGTCTGTGCACCACGTACATATTTGCTGTGAGGTCAGAAGAGGGCATCAGATCCCCAGGAGCTGGAGTGACAGATGGTTGTGATCCGCCACGTGGGTGCTGGGAATTGGACCCAGGTTCATTGCGAGAGCAGCCAGTCCTGTTAACTGGAGCTGAAGGAAATTGCTATGTAGTTATAGCCGGGACTCACTATCTAGTCCATGCTGGACCCAAACTATCATCAGTTTCCTGAGTGCTGGATTCTGTGTGCTGTCCTGCCAGGCCACACTGCTTGTCTTCACTCTTACCCGAACTGCCAAGCCTTCCTGTGACCTTGTATGCACACGAACAAGGCAGAAAGGGCTTGTTCATTCTGGTTGAGCTCCCACTAGAGTCAGCACACTTGATCTCTGCCATGCCTGGCGAGGAAATTCACCTGCTATCTCTGCCTGACCTGGGGCTGGAGCTATGTTGGCACAGTGTTTCCCAGGACCATATCAACCTGTCAAGGTGACATAGGCCTGTAATCCCAACATTCCCGAGGCAGAGGCAGCGGGGTCAGAAATTCAAGGTCATCCTCAGCTACATTGTGATGTCCCAGGCCAGCCTGGGCTACAGGGGACCCTATGTCAAGATGAAACGAAAATCCAGTAGCTTTCCCAGTTGAAGTTGCATGCCCAGTTTTCACCACAAGGCACCGAAAGGAGTTGGACTTTAAGCAGGGGTTCCTGTGTCTCTGCTACCATCTCCAACCTGCTGATGTGATCAGGTAGCCCTTGGACCACCCAGAGGGTGCAAACCAGCCTTAATTCTCAGACCCCACTCTTTGGGAAGGAATGGTTTGGATGGAGAAACTTGAGGTATGGAAGGGAGAAGTTGTGGGTTTGGGGTCACCTACAGAGATCTGACAGCAGAGCCCACATCTTGCAGTTTGAAACAGGGAGGGGTGAGTAGGTGGACAGGGCTGTCCATGGCAACGAGAAGGAACGGAGTTAGACTTCAGACACACGGTAAGCAAGAGTCTGGATGAAGAGATTGCTGGCAGTCTTCTCTCTGGGCTCCTGGCTAGACATCCGACCTGGGTCCACTAGGGTGCCCTGCCCCCAGGGGTGAATGCAGGCCAGCTTCCTGGAGCAAGGTCTGGACCTCCGGGCTCCTCCCCTGGGGTTTTGGCAGCTGCCTGAGTCCCAGGCACTGGGCAGGAGCAGTCCCTTTGGGGCTCCGCCAAAGCTTTCTCTTCCTTCTCTCTCTCCTGGGTCTGCGCGAAGCAGCTGAGTCAAGGTGTTGCGACATCTGGTTTGTTCTCTCTGCTGCCTGGGAGAGTGACACCCCATGCACCCCTCCCCCAATCACTTTGATCAGCCCGGAGGAACAGGATCGGGGTGTGGGGACCTAGGCACCTGCCCCTCGGTGGGTGGCTGGGTGCCTCAGAAGGTTGGGGATAGATCAAACGGATACAAGGAGTGAGCAGGCAGGCCAGGCAATGTGGGCCATCAGATCTTCAGCTGGAAGTGAGACACTGTATCTGTCAGGTTGAGCTAGGCACAAGGCTTCATACCTGTCATCCCAGCTCTTGGAGGCTGAGGCAGGAGGGTCATGAGTTTGAGGCTAGCTTGGGGGCAAAACAAATCGACCACAAAAAATAACAGACCTACTAGCTTCACATCTGGGTAAATGACATGTTCTCTCGGAACCTCAGCTTTCTCCTTTACACCCTGGGGTAACGCGCATGCCTTATCAGATGGTTATGAGGGTCCAAAGAGTTCAGCCCCTCTCAGGACAGGCCTGGTACAGTATAAGTTCCTGTCAAAAGTGCCAGGCTGCAGTAGGAAACTCCCATTATCCCAGCACTTGGAAGGCAGAAGCAGGAGCTACAACAGAAAGGCCCATCTCAAAAAGGAAAACAGACAATCAAAACCCAGAAACCCCAAACGGCTCTTGGGGTGTGGCTAAGATGGACAGCACCTGCCTAGAATCCCCCAGTGAGGGGCTGGGGGTGTGGCTCAGTGGTAGAGCCCCTGCCTAGAATCCCCCAGTGAGGGGCTGGGGGTGTGGCTCAGTGGTAGAGCCCCTGCCTAGAATCCCCCAGTGAGGGGCTGGGGGTGTGGCTCAGTGGTAGAGCCCCTGCCTAGAATTCTCCAGTGAGAGGCTGGGGGTGTGGCTCAGTGGTAGAGCCCCTGCCTAGAATTCTCCAGTGAGGGGCTGGAGGTGTGGCTCAGTGGTAGAGCCCCTGCCTAGAATCCCCCAGTGAGGGGCTGGGGGTGTGGCTCAGTGGTAGAGTCCTTGCCTAGAATCCCCCAGTAAGGCGCTGGGGTGTGGCTAAGATGGACAGTAGCTGCCTAGAATTCCTCAGGGAGGGGCTGGGGGCGGGGCTTAGTGGTAGGCTGCTTGCCTAGCATATGGGTTGTTTTCAAAACCTTTATTTTGAGACAGTAGACCAGGCTGGCCTTGAACTCAGAGATCCGCCTGCCTCTGCCTCCTGGCTGCTGGGATTAAAGGTGTGTGCCACCACTGCCCAGTTAATTGCATTTATTTATTTTGCTGGGGTGTATGGGCATCCACATATCACAGTACACACTTTGGGAGTCAGTTCTTCCTTACCTATGGGTCCCGGGGATTGAACTCGGGTCTTCAGGCTTGACCCTTACCTGCTGAGCCTGCCCAGTGGCGCTATACCTCATCAGCCTTTTGTCTGTCCAGCTTCGTAAAAGTGCCGGACTCCAGGAGAACACAAGCTGCCGTGTGGCCCTTGGAAACAGGGCTCTGCCTTCTGGGTATCTGTTCACTCTGGGCCTCAGTTTCCCCCTGAGTCATTGCATACTAGCACGATGACAGCGAGGACTCCACATGACATCTGGGAGATTTAATGACTCACCAGTTGCGCCTCTGGCACAGCTGTCTGGCGGCACGGCGCCTCCGGAGAGCATCTTCACCCTTCTGTGAGAAGATCCACGGCTCTGCTGTCACGTGGGGTTGGGTCTGCCCCTTGCTCTGCTGCTGTCTGACAGAGCACGGCCTCCACGGAACCCTGCCCTGCCCCTCCCAGTTCGTCTGGACGTCGGGGTGACTCCTCCTTTCTGGGTAAGGCATGTGATTGGCGATGGAAAGCCCCCAGGAGCCTGGCAGTAGCCAGCTGGTGTCACGGCACCTCTGGGCCATAGGTGAGCAGGGCTGTGCCCCCAGGGAGACTGGGTGGGATTGGACACGGGAAGTCCCAGGCTGGGAATCACGGGATGCTCTCACAGAAGGTCCGTGCTTCTAGGATTCACCTCAAAGGGGGGAGGGGAGGGCCCCGGGCCCCACCCTGGCTCACCTGACAGGACAAGGAGGTTCTGGGACTCGGTTGGTGGAGCGCTGGCCTAGCGCGCAAGAATCCCTGGGTTCTGTCCTCAGAAGCGCACAAACCAGGCGTGGTGGAGCACGCCTTAATCCCAGCGTTCAGCTTTGTGGAGGCAGCAGCATCCGGGTCATTCTTGGCTGCAGAGCCAGAAGTCGTCTCAGTGGATAAAGGTGCTTGCTCTGAAGCCTAAGACCTCAGTGGGTTTGATCTCGAAAACCCACATAGTGGAGAGAAAAGACGCCCCCAGATTGTCCTCTGACTTCCATACTCGTGAGCCATGACTCTCTCTCTCTCTCTCTCTCTCTCTCTCTCTCTCTCTCTCTCTCTCTCTCTCTCTCTCTCTCTCTCTCTCTCTCTCATACACACACACACACACAATTAAAAATAAGAGAGGTGTTAGAGACAGAGATATCTCAGTGGTTAGAACACAGCTCTTCCAGGTGACCTGGGTTCCATTCCCAGCTCACGTATGAGCTGGCTCATAACTGCCTGTAACTCCAGCTCCAGGGAGTCTGATGCCCTCTTCTGGACCTTAAAGGAACTTGCACACACACAACATGCGTGCACACACACACGTACACGCACAACATGCACACACATACACACACGCACGCACACACAAGCAAATAAACATAAATCTTTATGGAAAAGGAAAGCTGGCTGTGGCCTTCTTGGGGCACATGTCATTCAGGCTCTCAGGAGGCTGAGGAGGTTCTGTAGCATACAGGGGTCTCAGTTCCCCATACTGACCCCGCCCTCCCCCAAGGAATTACAGCCAGGTGTGGTGAGGTAGGAACAGACCAGGGGAGGCTGAGGCTAGCCTGGGCTATAGTGAGATCCTATGGAAGGGAATGGAGGGAGGGAAAGACACACACACACACAGAGACAGAGAGAGACACAGAGAGAGAGAGACAGAGACAGAGAGACAGAGACAGAGAGACAGAGAGACAGAGACAGAGACAGAGAGAGATAGAAAGAGGAGAGCGCACTTTCCATGCTTGCCCAGGAAACAAGCCTGTGAGTGTAAGATCAGATGTGGAAGAGGGTGTGCACGCCTCCGTGTTCTTGCCTCCTTCCTCTGTCTAGAACTCACTGAGCAGTTCAACCTCGCTCCTCCATGAGAGCCTCTGGGAGCATGACTAAGGTTTATCCCCAGAACTGGGCAAAGATCTGAGCATGCCCTTGAACTTGGGATCTTCCTGCCTTCATGTCCCTAGTGCGGGGCTAACAGGCGTGGGCGAGCACAGCCAGCCCGTGCCGGCGCTGGGGAGGGAACCCTTGGCTCAGTGGTGCCGAGCAACCGCGGCTACTTCTGGAGCCTGGACTTGAGGAAATGAGTCCGCCATCAGTCTAGCCATTCTTGGAGTGGGGCAAGCCTCCGCCATTGGACTAGGAGCCCCCTTTCCGTCCTTCTAGATTTGTTTTTATTTATGTGTGTGTTTTGCCTGCAGGTCCAAATGTGACCCACATGTTTGCAGAGCCCTTGGAGGCTGGAAGCGGGTTCCAGATCCCCTGGAACAGGAGTCGTGGGTGGTTGTGAGCGACCATGTGGGTGCTGGGACTTGAACCTGGGTCCTCTCCAAGAGCAGCAAGCGCTCTCAACTGCCGAGCCATCCTTCCAGTCCCAAGGAGCCCCCCTCAAATTTGTGTTTTAAATAATATTTGTTATTTTTTTAGGGTCTGTATGTGTCTGTGTGTGCTTGGAGCAAATGTGGGGGTCAGAGGACGGCCCGTGGGGTCCACAGTTGTGATTTAGGTTCTTGGGTTCGAAGGCAAGCATCTCATTGACCACTCAGAGCCCCCTTGGGGGACTTTACCGGAGGCAGAAACAGTTATTTCCTAGTCGTCCGCCGCGTTTCCCTAGAAGTCCGAAGCCACTGTCTCCGCCTTCCCCACAGAGCCCCCAAAGCAAAGAAGCCGAAGTTCCCCCAGGCTTCTGGGAAACCGAGGTCACACGGAACTCTCCTCACTCGCACCTGATGGGAAAAACACGCTCAGGGGCTCTGCTTCCTGATGCTGGGCCGGCCGTGGGGTCTGTGCTGCCCTCCAACATAGCTCTGTGGTCCTGCGACGCGGGGGGCTGAATTACCTGGTTTCTGCGGAATCAGTCAGCTCTCTGGTGGGCATCAGCGGCCTCTCAGCCACACGGGCTGACTCATCCCCGAGGCACCAGACCGGGCAGCGTTGGCGACATCCACAATGACTCTGCAGTGCGTGGCTTTAGGCTGACCCGGGAAGAATGGAGAAGGTGGGACCTCATGGGCTCGGTTACTGTCCCGCCTTGCAGGGGGTAGCGGCTGATGGCTGGTAGCCTCCACTTTTGTACGTCACTCCATCTTTCCTCATCCCTTCCTCTCCTGTGTTCACAAGGGTAGCTTCCCGGAAAAATGAAATCTTTTTATGTCTCGGATCCCAAATTATCATTTTTGTGGGCTCCAGGTGCGTATATATTCTCAAAGACCTTGTCTCCTGAATATCCCAGAAGGCTGAGAATGGAGATTCAGAATGGTAGAAGATTCGAAGAAAAAAAATCCTGTCCAGAGATGTAGTTTAGTAATAGAGCGCCTGCCTAGAATCCCCCAGTGAGGGGCTGGGGTGTGACTCAGTGGTAGAGCCCCTGCCTAGAATCCCCCAGTGAGGGGTTGGGGTGTGGCTCAGTGATAGAGCCCCTGCCTAGAATCCCCCAGTGAGGGGTTGGGGGTGTGGCTCAGTGATAGAGCTCCTGCCTAGAATCCCCCAGTGAGGGGTTGGGGTGTGGCTCAGTGATAGAGCCCCTGCCTAGAATCCCCCAGTGAGGGGTTGGGGTGTGGCTCAGTGGTAGAGCCCCTGCCTAGAATCCCCCAGTGAGGGGTTGGGGGCGTGGCTCAGTGGTAGAGCCCCTGCCTAGAATCCCCCAGTGAGGGGTTGGGGGTGTGGCTCAGTGGTAGAATGCTTGCTTAGGATTCACCAGTGAGCCAGACGTTGGTGGCCCACTCCTTGAATCCCAGCACTCAGGAGGCAGAGGCAGGAGGATCTCTGTGAGTTTGAGGCCAGCCTGGTCTACAGAATAAGTTGCAGGACAGGCTCCAAAGCTACACAGAGAAACCTTGTCTCAAAAAACCAAATCAAACCAAACCAAAACAAACAAACAAAAAAACCCAAAAAACTTAAGAATTCACCAATGAGGTGCTTGCAAACAGCCCTGTGTAATAGCCTAAGCACTGAAAGAAAAAATGTGAACTACAGCTCAGAGATCGCATCTGATTAGAATGAGATATCACAACACACATTCGCCACCCTTGGCTGGGATCAGAACCACAGCCCTCACCAAGGAAGCTTCTACTTGCGTTAGATGTGAACACACAGAGAGCCACAGCCGTGTGAGATGAGGAGATTCCTCAGGGAACTGATGGGATGCCTTCACCTGACCCCTCCCCTCCGCTCAGGATCTGGGCGGAAGGAGAGGAGGAAGGAGAGGAGGAAGGAAGGAGAGGTGGAAGGAGAGGAGGAAGGAAGGAGAGGTGGAAGGAAGGAGAGGAGGAAGGAAGGAGAGGAGGAAGGAAGGAGAGGAGGAAGGAGAGGTGGAAGGAAGGAGAGGTGGAAGGAAGGAGAGGAGGAAGGAAGGAGAGGAGGAAGGAAGGGGAGGAGGAAGGAGAGGAGGAAGGAAGGAGAGGAGGAAGGAAGGAGAGGAGGAAGGAAGGAGAGGAGGAAGGAAGGAGAGGAGGAAGGAGAGGAGGAAGGAAGGAGAGGAGGAAGGAAGGAGAGGAGGAAGGAAGGAGAGGAGGAAGGAGAGGTGGAAGGAAGGAGAGGTGGAAGGAAGGAGAGGTGGAAGGAAGGAGAGGAGGAAGGGAGGAAGGAAGGAGAGGAGGAAGGAGAGGAGGAAGGAGAGGAGGAAGGGAGGAGAGGAGGAAGGAGAGGAGGAAGGAAGGAGAGGTGGAAGGAAGGAGAGGAGGAAGGGAGGAGAGGAGGAAAGGAGGAGAGGTGGAAGGAAGGAGAGGAGGGAGGAGACGAGGAAGGAGAGGAGGAAGGGAGGAGAGGAGGAAGGGAGGAGAGGAGGAAGGGAGGAGAGGCGGAAGGGCTCTAAGAACCAGAGGTGGAGGACTTCAAGGGTGTAGCCTCTTCCAGACACAGCCGGGCTGTGACAGCTCACACAAGGCCTGCACCCATTTAAACCAGACAAAATGCCAGCCCTGGGACGGTGGAGTGGACATAGAGTCCTACCCCTGACTAAGAAGGCGTCTGTATTTGATGCCTGCTGAGAGAGGAAAATCAGTTTTCTCCAGGGTGGCGCCCCTGGCTGTGTCCACCGTACGCCAGGAAGTGCCATGCCCGGGAGAAGTTGGAAACAAAAGTGCATTCCGTGGTTAGGTTTTTTGTTTGTTTGTTTTGTTTTTGTTTTTTGAGACAGGGTTTCTCTGTATTGTTTGGAGGTTGTCCTGGAACTCGCTCTGTAGACCAGGCTGGTCTCGAACTCACAGAGATCCGCCTGCCTCTGCCTCCCTAGTGCTGGGATCAAAGGCGTGCACCACCAACGCCCGGAAAGTTTTTTTTCCTGTCTGTGTGGTTTTTTAACTTTTTTTGTCTTGCTAGGCTTTATTACTGTCATTTCTTCTGAGAGGTAAAGGGATGATGAAGTTGGATGGGTAGGAGAGGGGAGGATCTGAGAGGGTCTGGGGGAGGGAAGACGATATGACCACAGCATTCTATGAAAACCATTTTTGAATTAGAAAATATTTTAGTAGCCAGGTGGTGGCACTCGAGAGGCAGAGGCAGGCAGATCTCTGTGAGTTCAAGACCATCCTGGGCTGCAGAGAGAAACGCAGCCTCCAACAACAACAACAAACAGGACCCCCCAATTATTAAATAAACAAATATTTTTAATGCAACATAATCACTTCACAGCCAGTTCAGAGTTGGGGTCGCCCACTTTGATGGGGTCCCACAGTCCCCATCCAAGCTCCAAGCTCCCTCCCCGCCAGGCAAGCTGCTTTTTGCTCTAACCACTGAACCATCTCTCCAGGCCTCAGGTTCCTCATCTTCTATCATCAGAGAATAACCAATCCTTTTTCACCGCCGTGTTGTAGTCCCTTATGCGGCCATGCCAATATTCATTAGTTTGCTGGTGGACTTATGGTTCATTTCTAGTCCCTGGCTTTTTTGTTTGTTTGTTTGGTTTATTTGATTTTTGAGACAGGGTTTCTCTGTGTATCCCTGGCTGTCCTGGAACTTGCTTTGTAGACCAGGCTGGCCTCAAGGTCACAGAGATCCGCCTCCAGCCTCTGCCTCCCGAGTGCTGGGATTAACAGCGTGCACCACCACTGCCTGGCCTAGTTCCTGGCTTTTGACCAGGGCTGAGTTTGTTTCCCGGAGTCTACACAGGTTTTTTTTGCTTGTTTCGGTTTTTTCTTTCATTTATTTTTTTATTTTTATTTTTATTTTTATTTTTGGTTTTTCGAGACAAGGTTTCTCTGTATTGTTTTGGAGGTTGTCCTGGAACTCACTTGGTAGTCCAGGCTGGCCTCGAACTCACAGAGATCCGCCTGCCTCTGCCTCCCGAGTGCTGGGATTAAAGGCGTGTGCCACCAACACCCGGCTTCATTTATTCCTAAAATTTCATAGTGCTCCCTCCCACCCCATGCAGGTTTTAAAGGATATTTTTTATTTGAGCGTATGGTGTGCCCGTGGCAATCTGTGGTCTACGGTCCTCACGTGGAGGTCAGAAGACAATGTTGGTCTCTTCCCCCATCACGTGGGCCTTGGAGACTGTGCTCAGATCACCACAGTCACTGGTGAGCTTGCTGGGAGCCACACTGTCAAGCGACTGATTATCTGCCAGTGTTCTCCTGGGGTGGAGTCAGTCTCTACTTTGATCTCCAGTGTCTGCTGGAACTTCTAATTGCTTCACGTCCTTGCTCGCTCTGGATCCTTCAGATCTGTGAGTCATCTTAGTATTAGTGTATGAGTATGCGTGTCAGAATTTTCCCACAGGTATAAGGAGCATTTCCTAGATCACTGAGGGCATTGAACACCTTTTCCAGTATGTCCTCTTAAACCAAAACCAACAGGAAGCTAGGCAATAGGGAGTGAATTTAAAACCTTGGGCATAATAGGCAGGAGCTCTACCACTGAGGCACAACCCAGCCTCACTGGGGGATTCTAGGCAAGGGCTCCACCACTGAGTCACACCCAGCCCCTCACTGGGGAATTCTAGGCAAGGGCTCTACCACTGAGCCACACCCCCAGCCCCTCACTGGGGGATTCTAGGCAGGGGCTCTACCACTGAGCCACACCCCCAGCCCCACTGGGGGATTCTAGGCAGGGACTCTACCACTGAGCCACACCCCCAGCCCCTCACTGGGGGATTCTAGGCAGGAGCTCTCTTCATTAATTCTAATTTAGAATAGGATAGTTCTCTGTAGCCCAGGCAAGCCTTGACCTTTTTTGTTACTCCTCTCTCAGCCTTTGGGTTCACTGGGATAACAGGCTTGCACCACTGCACCTGGCCAAGCCTAATACCTTTTGTTTAAAATAAGTTTTAGTGTCTTTGTTTTGTACTTGTATCTCTGGCTATGGATTTGTGCATGTGAGCAGGGTGTCACCAGAAGCCAGAGAGGGTATTGAACCCCCTGGAGCTGATGTTAAAGTTGTGAACTGCCTGAAGTGGGTGATGGAGATCCAACTCTGGTTGTATGCATAAGACATTCTGTTTTTTAATTTTTAAAGATTTATTTATCATGTATACAGTGTTCTGATTGCAGGCTAGAAGAGGGCACCAGATCTCATTACAGATGGTTGTGAGCCACCATGTGGATGCTGGGAATTGAACTCAGGACCTCTGGAAGAGCAGTGAGTGCTCTTAACCTCTGAGCCAACTCTCCAGCCCACATAAGACATTCTTAAGACAAAGAATTCTAGAATCCCAGACTTCTAGCTACATGGATGACAGCATCCTGGGTCTCTGCTTTCTTTCAGGTGTTAAGGGCTAGCCTCAGGTACTTAGAGAGAGACTCAGAGAAGGAATACTGGGGTGGAGAACCCTATGCGCCATAGTTCCCTTGAGTGCCAGGGTTTTACCCTCCACCACATTTATTATTTAGAAAAAAATAGGATGAAGACAAACGAATGAATTCCAGAATGCAGGGTTCATAGGAAGTTGTGATTGCACAGGGAGGCATAGTGCAGATGGGAAGCTTGGCTCAGCGGTAGAGCCCCTGCCTAGAATCCCCCAGTGAGGGGCTGGGGGTGTGGCTCAGTGGTAGAGCCCCTGCCTAGAATCCCCCAGTGAGGGGCTGGGTTGTGGCTTCATGCTTAGTGTAATGGAGGCCCTGTGTTCCTTTCCCAGCATTGAAAAATCTCAGAAAGGAAGGAAAGATCCAGGTTTCTTGTGTGTGAGCATCGGACTCATCATGATCTTGAACTTGAGAAGCAAGG